TCTCTCTCTCTCTCTCTCTCTCTCTCTCTCTCTGTTCAGTTTGTTCATTGAAATCATCGGAGATAGATTTCCTGTTCGCGCGCTTATATGCTAAAGTCAATTCGATAAAACTTCCCTACTACGAATACTAATCTCACACAAATACCTATATACCCATATACAGATATTTAAATACAACATTACGCAATTCTCTTCCTCTCTCTCCCTCCCTCCATCATTATGTCTCTCTATGCAAATTTGATTACTTTCATAAATAAACAAAAATAATAGAATAAATAGGTGGCAGATTGTGGCTATTAATGCGTCATATTATATGTATGTCACACACAATCATATTTTCAATAATCCTATGCACGGCTCACACGAATGACAACAATTAATTAATTTAATGCTGCGTTATAAGTAAAAAGAAGACGATCTTAATTTGCGATTCTAATGTAATGCAATTATAAGAGCTCAATACTTGTTAGCCAATTTAATACATATTCGTGCTCTTCCGAATTTCTTAAATTAAATTCGGCCTAAGGGAGCTGAAAGAAAATTCGCTTGCGCTATTTAAGTACCTTGTGACGTATGATATATGGAAAAACACGAAAAGGAAGCAAACACTCCAGTGCAGGAACGAAAAATGCAGAATAATGATAAGTTGACGCCAATTAATCCAATAAAATGCTTATCGCCCATGCTTTCCACACAATGTATGCGTTTTATTTACAATTTCGTTCCGGTTACTTTTTGATCATGCTTAGCAATACATTCGTATAATATTTTTTAATTTTTTTTATAGAAAATGTGAATATTTTTTATTACTCGAAAAATATGTTATTTTCAAATTACTTATTTTACTAGACAAAAAGGATTCGTTATGTATAGAAAAACGATTTGTGATAAAATCAAGCAAGCGATCAAGAAGTTCAATATTAATGCCCATATAGAAAAAAAAGAAGAAAGACTTTCAAACTGTAAATATAGTATCTGCCATGATGGCTCTATGCAACAATACTCGCTGCTGCAACAAACTAATTTTATAAGCGATAATCGGCATTCCACTTAAAATAGGATAATCCGCTAAAAGCGAGTCCTACTATATTTCTGAAGAAATTGGTATTTCAGAGAAAATTGATATCGATTAGTTTCCTCGCAACTCTGATCAGCGTCGACGCCTGTCTAACCCTTTATTATATCACGTTTCCATGGTTTCGAGATTTGGGATTGCTCCAGCCATTAAATAAGCATTTTCTTGATCAACACTGTATCTATCATATGTGAAAGCAATAACAGAGAAGGAGAGCAAGATATGCAAGGAATATAAAATGCGAAACGTAGCGCATTTTTAGATATAAGCATATCCCAAGCAATTCCTTTAATGCACAATGCATACAATACAGATTTCTATACCGTCCACATTTCATGAGATGTCTGTACATAAGATAAATATATGATAATATTATTCGAACATTTTCACCATCCCAGTATTGCTATTCGGGCGGAACTAAGGTCAAAATAATTTTTTCCATCGTTTTTATGAAAATGTTCGGTTTACTTATTCATCTATTTTTGACAGTTACTCATGGCATATACAATTGGTTGCTTTTTTCGCAACATGGCCGGTAAATTGCGACCAATCGGTGCTATGCTCTCAGTGCTATCGAAAACCCTAACAGAAGAATCCCATTTGAATGAATCCACCCAATGGACAGCGATAATAATAATGATAGCAATTGAAGCAAGATGAATGCTCCTTTAGCTTCGTCTCGTCGAAATTAGGTGGGAAATCGCATGCGAGTTATTCAAAATGCGTGAGGAGGAGCTAGGACAACACGAAGTGAAAAATTGCCAAGAAAATTGCCGTCTGAAGAAGTTCAGAAACTTGAAGCATCCGAATGATATTAAAGCAGTCATGCTATAATTAGACGAGCTTAAAAAAAATATACAATGTTCGGACTGAATTGAAACGCATAACATTTATTACGCAGCAAGTTTTTTATTGCGAATCTCTGCGAATTTTTCATTATTGTTACTTATGTTTGTAATTTAAACTTATTTTTCTGCTTTTTATATTTCTTTTATTCCTTTTTTTTTCTTTTTGTTTTTTCAATTAATATTATAAACAACCTGCATTAATTTATTAATATTTCCTTACTAGTACACAAACATTATATATATATATATATATATATATATATATATATTATAGTTATTTAAACACACAAAAACTCACTATGGATAGCCATTTAAAAAAAAAAAAAAAAAATTAAAATACTGTACAACATTGTAATAAAATTATGAAATTTTATAAATAGAAGAGAATGAAATATTTATGACTGCGATGATTGCGAGGCTTTCGCATAAATAGAATACGAGAACGGCTCCTTTAGGTGTTCAAGAGGTGTCCGATTTTATCTTTGTTACTTTATTCCATATTTACTTCCGAGCTTATAGCCCCCAAGGCATATGGAAACTGCTTTTTATGCTAACGTTATTTTCGAAAGATTTATTAAAGCGTTTTTCCCATAAAAACGAAAATTATAGTCACCTCTCGTGCAAACTGATGATTTTATAACACGAAAACGAAATTAAGGATAATTCTTCCATAACATGTTTTCCGTGCAAGAACATTCCAAAAACTGAAATGACTCGAAAAATTTTTCTATAACTGCGCTTATTCGATGTGTCAAATTTTTATTGACATTTATGGCAAAAAAACATTGCTTTCTTTTAATTTATTACTATATAACGCGGTAAGAATACTGAGTTAATTCTATCTTTCTCTTAAAGCGTTTTCCGTTGAACGCGTTTCCTGAATTGAATTAATTCTGAATTTCCTATAACTCCGTTTTCATAAAACACGGAACGAATTAATCCCCTGCGGGAATTCGCTTACCATTTTTGGTAACACAAAATCAACAAAATTTAAATTTTGTGAAATATCTCGATATCGCTCTTAATATATGAAAAATGTCTTCTCTAAATCGAATAAATGTTGTAGTAAAACGTAAAGCGTAAGCAGGGCTTCCTGAAGGGAGAGAAATCATTTGTCGAATAGAGTCTTAAGAAATAAACGCATCTCGTTCAGATTCACTTCATATTTATGTCAAATTACTATCATGAACAAATTGTCATCACATAAGATTAACAAGTAGGGCTTTTTTGGCACATAATCGGTTACATTTCCTTAGAATCCTTGTATGCGGTATTATCCGAAAAAAATTAGAACCACGTTGTCCATGTTCGGTGAGATTGATCTCTATGCGAACCTCTCTTTATTACGAACCAATTTTTACCGTGAAATGATTCCTTTTTACCATATAACAATGCAATTTTCGTGATAACGATTATATGATAGCGGATTTAAATATTGACCCAGGCGAACGAAAATTTTCATACCAATTTAAAATGTCGAAACCCTATTACTCAGCGACTTTTGTTAAATAATTTGGAAAATTGTAGTTTTTTTTTCCATATAATGACTCTTTGAAATAAACCGTTACATGGAGAGTGTTCGAAAAAGTGAACCGATCCCAACCCTTTTGAATAGCGTTCGTCGTTGGGCCAAAGCAAGTGAGCGTACGAAATGTCATCAAAATATCTCAAACACAAAAATACATGGGCAAACATCAGACGGACCGACGGACCGACGGACAGACAAATTTAGATCTCAGACTTCAAAAAGTAATTCGATCACAAAGATCAATTTTACGACATAGTATCAACTGTTCATCGTACCATGAACATTAAACGCGTCCAAAATTATTCACAATCACCCTAAAAGATTTCAATCATTTAATCTTCATGGATTTTCTAAATTATCTCTTGACTTTCATCGCATTGATAATTTGATTAACTCTTTCGAACAAACCTGTGGACCATTAAATTGCATTCTCCGTAGGAATTCGATTTAATATGATTTAAATTTTTTTTTCATTATGTGACTGGTTTTTTTTTATAATATTATCTAAACAATGAAGATGTTTTGCATTTTCACTAGTATTTAGTCCTTTTTTTAATCCACCTATTATTACTTTTTTCTTCCTTTCTATTCCTCATTTATTAATCTGCTGTTAATACCATATATTGTTCTTTTCCCTAACACCACTGCGTGTTTAACGTATAGCTAATATACCTTCAGATAACGTACGATCTTTTGTGTTAACCGTTTATATTATTAGGTTGCTAAGTATGAAATTTGTAAATAATAATATTGCCGTCTTTAATAGCTTATCATTTGACATTGACTTAAAGTTGCATATCTCACCTGTTAAAGGAATTATTATAAGCAGTAAAGAATATTAAAATTATTTTACACCCTACACCACTTGTGGTAAAGGGTATATTAACTTTGTGCAGATGTATGCAACATCAGAAAGGGCTTAAGATAGACCCACCTTTTATTATACCTGTCGATTCAAAATCATTTTCTGAATCGATCTAAACTTGTCTGTCCGTCTTGTTTTCTTGTTTCGTCTTGCGTTCA